AAGTACCTGAGAAAGGGGGAGGAGGAGGATGAGTCCATCACAGAGGTCATCATTGAGGGTGAGTGCGGGCAGTGGGCTGTCAGTGGGGGCTGGTGGAGGAGCGCAGACCCTGGGCAGGGAGCTGCAATCCTGCCCCAAGTGTGGAGGGCTCTGTTCCCTGCGTGTACAGAGCAGAGAGAGATTTCAGGGCCATGAGGGGTGTTGGTGGCCAGCACCTTCTGGCTGATCCCATTGGGCCCTGCTCCCTCCTGGCCAGGGCAAGAGCTGAGTGGGATGGCCCTGGCAGGAGGGGCTCGTCGGGGCCCTGCAGATGCTGGCTCTGATCTTGGCTCCGTCCTTTTCTCTTCCAGCCCTTCAAAGCATGACTGCTGACAGCCCTGCCATCAAAAAGCGGGCAGATGAAACCATGAAAATCATCAAGGATTTCCAGACATCAAAACCAAAACCGAAAAAGAAGCCCGCACCGAAACCGAAATCTAAAGCCCGACCCAAATTCCGGTAGCCTACGTTCCGCTCTGTTCCAGCCCTGGGGAACGAGCGAGGACATCAGAGTCGGCATGGCAGGCCTGTCAGTTCCAAACTGGGCATGCTAAGGGCTGGACAGACAGCTCCCTGCTCCAGGTTGCAGCAGCTCCAAGAGTGGCTAATATCAAATATCAAATACATCTCTACCTCTTCTCAAAGACAGAGACTCAGGAAGTTTTTTTGAGTGCCTGGTGTCCACAGAGAGGAAGAGGGGAAGAAGGGCCCTTGTGCTCAGCAACACTTGCCCAGGTGTGCCGTGGGGAGGGGAAAGTGCCCCAAAGGCCCTTGGCCTTGGGGGTTTCTGCTGGAGCCTCAAGGCTTGCAGCAGAGCGGATGGGCAGAGCCTGGAGCTGTGGGATCCCTGAGAAGCTGGTGCTTGGAGGTGGCCACACGGTCTGTCCCAGCCAGGAAGCAGCACGAGTGGCCTGCCCGTGTGCTGCTGTGTGGATTGCTGAGGGCTGGGAGACCCTGAGGGGACGGGGCGCTGGGAGGCCATGAAGGACTGAGGTGCTGAGGAGGCCCTGGTGGGACACGGGTGTGGGAAGCCTTGAGGGGAATGAGGGAGGGGCTGCGAGGGGCCAGGCTGGGCAGAGGAGGCTTTGAAGGGACAGGGTGTGGGAAGGCCTGAGCAATTGGGGGCAGAGGCCGTAAGCAGGGCCCAGGCAGTCCCCGGGTTCCCTGCCAGCCGGCTGCCCTGGCGCTTGCCCGGGGTGTCTGCCATGCCTGTGGCAGAAGGCCTGGAGGTCTGGGCAGGAGGGTGGGGACAGCCCC